ACTTCATATATATAAACCCGGAAGAGTTTACGTCAAGATTGACAAATGAACTCAATCCCAACTATGAGAGTTTAGCCATGCGTAGTCAAAGAAAATTCATATATACAACCCATAGATTAGAAGAAGAGAAGAAAAATTGATGAACCTCATTCCTAAGCAATCTTGTTCTTCAAATCTCCTTCATGCCTTTTTTTTTTTCTATTTTCCTCAACTTTCTCCTTCTCTGTTCTCCCTTTGTATTGTTCTTAAAAGGTATTTATATGATCTTCAAAAAAAAAGGAAAAATTGAACTTTTTTCTTCCACCACTACGACATTAGAGAGTACTTCAAATTGAAATAAGCTCCATAACTTGAGCACTAATTCATCGCTGCTGTGGTGGAATTCCCTATTTCCCAATCAACTCCAGACTTCCACAACTTGAGCACTAGTTAGGCGCCATGGCGCCAAGAATTTGTTGAACCTTTGTTGCTTCACCATTGCAACACTAGTTTGGGGCCATGGCACCAAGAATTTGTTGAAGCTTCATAAATTCACAATTGCGACGATGGCTTAAGGCTTAAGAGAAAAATTGATATTATCATTCTAGATTCTCTTATCCTGATGTTCTTTCTTAAATTATCAACAAAAGAGAGAAAATAATATATATATATATATATATATATATATATAGACACACACACACAATTAACAAAGAGAGTTCCTAATAAGGATAATATTCATTAAATTTTGGCACTTACCAAGCATATACAGAGGAATTGTTTTATATGGAAGAAGGAGAATAAAGACAAGAAGGGTAAGCAAAGAGAGAGATATCATGATGATAGTGATTGTGTTACTACTATTTCTAGTGATGATATTGTTCTTCTCAATAATCTTGATGCAATTAATCTTGTATCTAATAAGAGCATGTAGATAATAGATAATGGTGCCACTCTACATGTTACAGCTAAGAAGGAGTTCTTCACATCTTATACTCTTGGTAATTTGGAGTATTGAAGATGGGTAATGATGGCGTGTTCAAGGTGATTGGTGTTGGTGACGTTTTCTTGCAAACTAACATGGGGATGCAATTGTTGCTTAAAGGAGTTAAGCATGCTCTAGATGTTTGTTTTAAGTTGATGACATGCTTATTGTTGGGAAAAATGTTTCTAAAATTGACAGGTTGAAGAGGCAATTGAGCAAGTCATTTTCCATGAAGGACATGAGAGCTACTAAAAAGATTCTTGGCATAAGAATCATGTGTGACAGAAAGGAGAAGAAGTTTTGGCTCTCATAGGAACACTATATTAAAATAATGTTGCTGAGATTCTAGATGGAAAGGCTAAGGTGGTGAGCACTCCTTTTGCTACTCATTTTAAGTTGAGTTGTAAACAGAGTCCATTAAATGAAGTTGAAAAATTAGACATGCAATGGGTTCCTTATGCATCTGTAGTGGGTAGTTTGTTGTATGTAATGGTGTGCACAAAACCAGATATAGCACATGTTATTGGTACTATTAGTAGATTTCTGTCAAATCTAAGTAGAAAGTATTGGAATGTTGTGAAATGGATTTTGAGGTATCTTCATGGTATTGCAAATATGAGGCTTTGTTTTGGTGGTGATAAGCCTACTTTGGTGGGGTACTCAGGCTTTGATATGGTAGGAGACATTGATTCCAAGAAGTCCACTTTGAACTATTTGATTAAATTTGTTAGGGAGTTGTGTCTTAAAAGTCTAGACTACAGAGGTGTGTAGCTTTGTCTATTATAGAGGCAGAATTCATTATCATTACTAAAGCATGCAAGTAGTTACTATAGGTGAAGAAATTCTCGTAGGAGCTTGGTTATATTCAAGATAAATATCTACTATTTGTGGATAATCATAGTGTTATTCATCTTGGTAAGAATTCAACTTTTCATTCAAGGTCTAAACATATTGATGTGAGGTATCATTGGATACGTGATGTTTTGCATACTAAGTTGTTGGAGTTGGCCAAAATTCACACGATGATAATGGTAGTGATATGATGACTAAGACATTACCAAGAGGAAAGTTTGAAGTTTGTTGTGAGATCGTTGGTTTGGTGGTCATCTCCACATAGTTGTGAGGGGGGATTTGATGGGTTTTGGACTCCCTTCCCATGTGAAAAATAGGCCAAAATTGTGTAACCCATCATGTCTCACTTAACCAAGTGAAAATGGGTCAAATTAGGATAGAGTAACTCAGTTTGAGAAAACAACAACAAAATATAAAAAGAAGAGTAGAAAAAAAGTTATAGGTCGCATTTTCACCGGATAACATTTGTTGAATTGCAATTGGAGATTCGTTTACCATTGAATTAGGCTGATTTTTGGACAGCAAGTTCATATGACGCAGTATTTTATATTCAACAGTTGGATCATCAAAAAAAAGTCTGGAGTGAAAGAAAATTTCTCATAATAACAACTTTGTTTTGAGACTTTTTATTTTCTTATTTGTCAATTGTAAGCAATTGTGCTCAGTTTTGCTAACTGATTGTAAACATTATTTGGTACATTCTTTAGAGACTCTCTTGTAACCTTTGTTGATCATAGTAAAGTTTTTCTTTAGTTTGGATGACTTGTGGTTTTTACCCTTGCATTGAGAGACTTTCTACATTAAAAATATTTGTATCTCTTGTGTATTTAAATTATTTTTTTCTCTATTCTGGTGTTTTTTTTTGCAGATTCTTGCAAGTAAGAAGATTTAATTTTTGCTACGTTATTCCTCTTTATCAATTAGTTGTTATTGTTGTGTTGCACTCTCCTCCATCGCTAGTTTGATTTCAGTTTTTTTTACTTCTTAATTTTTATAAATAATTACAAAATATAATATCTTCTTTTTTTAATTTGTTGCTTGTTCTTAAATATTTATATACAAAATGTTGAGTACATTTTTATTTTCACCATTACTTATATGAATTTTTTAAAATAAACTAAAATATATTTTTTTCTTAAAACAAAAAACAAAACCAAAAATTGTTTTATTAGACCAAGTACCCCTTAATACTCGAGAACTCTATTAATATCGTATTTAAAGAAGATATTAAAAATTTAAACTCTAACAAGATACCTTTTAACACACTATTTTTAATTTTTATTAGTTAAAATTTATTAAGAAAACATTTTTGTAGATTTGACTGTAATGATTCTCTCGAAGTTACTCTCACCCCTCCATATACTTTTTTCTATTATTTAAATTCCTTTTCTCTTGTTATTTAATTAAAATATGATATTTTACTAGAGAAAAAAGCCACTGAAGGTTGTAAACAATTTACAAGCACTTTTCGTCCTACAAACAATTTGTCAAAACTGATTTGATAGATATATACGCGTGTATTAGATAGAGTTGGACATGTTTTCGTCATAAATAAAATTCAATAGTGACTTGTAAACGGGCTTCTATGTTCTTTCGCATTGGAAGACCTCTGAAAGTCAAGCTCCGCGTGAGACTAACATCCTTCTCCTAATAACGTGTTCAATAGGAGAATTTATTTATTATATAAGTGTCTTTATTTATTTTTTATAATAAAAAATAATAATTTTGAAAACAATTGTATAAATGTATACTTATTTAATGAAAAATTTTATTTGTAAAGGAAATGTAATATATAATTTGCTTAATAGAAGTTTTTATTCAAAAGATAAAATGATCCATTAAAAACAGAGATTAAAAGTAATTGAGGGGGAACATATCTCCTTTATCTCTATTGTTATAGATAGTTAAAAACTTTATTATCTCTTTTTCATTAAAAAAATTGATTAAATTGCACTTTTAATCCCTTAATAATATTAAATCCATAATTTTGTTTCATTAATTTTTAATTATGTAATTTTATAAAATTATCAATTTTGGTCCATTTTTTAAATGTTCATCTAATTGATTGTTAAAATTCTAACATTTTGTTGTAACTTAACATTATATAGATGATACACTGATTAATATTTATTTTATTTAAATTAAACTGTAATTTTAATTCTCATTTTCATCTCATTTTACCATTTTTTTTTAAATAAAAATGAGAATTAATTTTTTTTGAATATTATTAAATGTTAATTGGCATGTTTTATTTTTTATTTAATATCAAATCATAACTTATATTACAATTTTAATGATCTAATGGGTAAAAATTCAAAGAAAGGACCAGCTTTTATAAAATTTAAAGACTAAAACGGGATTTAAAGATAAAAAAATCAAAATTGCATATTTGATATTAAAGAGAGAGTAAAAGTAGAATTAGACCTATATAAAAAACTGAGTTGCATGTCCCGTAAAAATTGACTTGGAGTTGGATACATGATAATTTTGGACCATTCAATAATTTGTTATCTCAGCGCACTAGAAAGTCGTAACTCAGAAATTGTGGTTTTATTTCCTTATTGTAATGCTGGTTGACCCAACGAAGCTCTTCTTTGGACTTTATTCATAAAACTCATAATTTGTTTTAACATATACTTAATGTTGTTTCAGGAAACAACCTATGCAAAGATCACAATGACGAGAAGTTAATTTTGCTTTTCACGTTGGCATGCATATTGGCAGACAGGCACATCCACACAAGAAGTGTACATAGTTACTACAACCTTAAAAGTTAGTGACTATGGTTGTTGTCAGTAGCAAAAGCAGCACAAAACTTGTACAATCATCATGTTCGTGTCCACCTAGAATGGTTAAAGTTTCAGCTGAGGCTGCTTCTTCTTCTTCTTCTTCTTTTTCTTCCGCTAAAAAACATGATGTTTTCATCAGCTTTAGAGGTGAGGACACGCGCAAGAGTTTCACAAGCCATCTTTATGCTGCTTTTCAGCACAACAAAATCCAAACCTTCATAGATTACAAGCTTCCCAAAGGGGGTGAGATCTCTCCCATAATTCTCAAAGCCATTGAACACTCCAACCTATCTGTGGTTGTTCTCTCCAAGCACTATGCTTCCTCCACTTGGTGCTTGCGTGAACTCGCCAAAATAATCGAACACAAGAAACGTGGTGGACACATTGTGATACCTGTGTTCTTCAAGGTTGATCCTTCCCATGTAAGGAAGCAGACTGGTACTTATGGAAAAGCCTTTGAAAAATATGAGAGAGATGGCAAACACAGCATGGCCATGTTGCAGAAATGGAAAGCTGCTCTCACAGAAGTTGCCAATTTAGTTGGGTGGAACATGCGGAATTACAGGTAACAAATCATTTTTTGTTTTGGGAATCTCCCTCCTGTTTTCTTACTTGAAAATATGAGTTATTGGGATTCATATCAGAGTTCAATTAACATCAAGTGAAGTTGTGTTGCATACTTTCACTTCTGAGTTGTGATATTAGACTTTTTTGGATAAACTGATTTAGAAATACTTTTAAGGAGGAAAAAAAGAACAGGAAGAAGAGATGAAATAAGTTTAACCATAAGCTTATATATTATATATATTGTTAGGATCCCTCCTTAATTGGAGAGGTTCTAGAAAATTCTAGAGCTTTCTAGAGAAGTATAGAATTTTCTAGAACATTCTAGAGAATCCTAGAGAATTGTAGAATTCTCTAGAAGCTTGTGGAATAGTGTGGAACCCTTTGGAACATTCTAGAGATGTGTGGAGCTTTCCGGAACCTTATGGAAGAGTATAGAAGGATATAGAAGGGGTAGTGACTAGTTGGGTCGTTACAAGACGTGCCAGAACGGGCCGTTCTAGTTTCAGAATGGGTCATTCTGCATGTGAATTTTACACATGATGAAGGAGCTTAGAACAGGCCGTTCCGAATTTGGAACGGGCCATTCTGGCCAGTTCAGACTTCTATAAATAGAGGTTGTGGGCAGTTGAGGAAAATGGAGGTTTAGAGAGAAGTTCTAGAGAGAAGGACTCTGGACTAGAAAACTATTTTTGGAGAGTTGAAGTTCAAGAGTCAAGTTTTGGAGGATATTTCTTCTTCTTCTTCCTTTCAAATTCTTGGCTTTTAAAACCAATCTTCAGGACTTGGAATGTCACACACTTGAAGCACTACTTTAGTTAGCAAACATTATGTAATTGTTTCGGTGCACTTTTTTCCTTTTCCCAGGTTTTGTCCTCTTATAAAAATGTGAAAGAGGTTTTTCTGAGAAAAGGTTTCTAACGAGGCACCACATCAATGAAACAAACCCTTTTGAAGGAATACCTTACATTTGCTCTCAAGTTACTCTTAATAGACCAACAACTTGAACCCTCCCGAGTATTCCTACTCGGTCAATGATGAACAACTTTGAACCCTCCTGAGTGTCGCCACCGGCCCAAACGGGCCTCGGCGGTCGCGAAGACGGTCGAGCTCGCTTTTATTTTAGTTTTGAAAATGTATTGGATTATTAGAACGACTTGTTCTCAAACTGAGACCTTGTCGATCTTATCCAATTTATTTATTAAAAGTCTCACCAATCCATGTTAATCCCAAGCGGGACCCTCCATGGATTAG